GGAATGAGTAAGACGAATTCAAATTCCTACCTTCAATTTCACCCAAATGTTCTTGGGAAAGGCATCAATCCATCGCTTTTCTCCATCAATTCTCGGTTAAAGAGCAGGCTAGACTGGGATCGCTAGCCTTGTGTAGCAACTAGTCTGTGAATTCCAAACCGTGGAGAAGGAAACGGGAAATCACTCCCCAAGATGTCATGACAATTCATATATAATAAGAAAAAAGAATCTGTGGAGAGTCATGATCGCCTACGTCCTGTAGGGACTTAGCATAAAAAACAGAGTTGCACAGGTTCAAATCTACCCTTTTCACCAAGATTAAGTAGCAAAGTGATGTCCCGGGTGCAGTTGACGTGAATAAGACTTTGGTGCAAAGAATGTTCTACTCACGCTTCACGACCATCACGTGTGCACCCAACCGGTTTGAATTCAGAGTTTTCCTTCTCCTAGATTAGCCGCTACCCGAAAACCTAGTCGGACCTGCTATTTAACTTTAATAGTATACTTTAATAAGACTTTACTTTTTAAAAGTACATATAAAGGCATTCTAAGCCGTAACTTCAAATTACGACACAATTTAAGAGACTCTAATTATTTGCATACACAGGCACGTATGTTCGTATGCGCCGATCGGTACCCGAACTACCACCAGTCACGAGGTGTCACTGTGCCTTGAGAAACTACTGGGTTTCAAACCCACACCTGACCTCAAGTGGAACTCGTACATACGATCTATCGCTAAAGATGCAGGTAAAATATTCGGCTTGGTATGTCAAGTATTTACTGTAGTTACTGCTTCAGTAAGTACCTGACTCCTCATGCTATCCTCTACCTTTACAAGAGTCAGAACAGACTGAAAATGGAGTACTGTTGTCATATTTAGGCGGAAGATGCCCAGTTCTCACTTCAGGCTCGATAAAGTTCAAAAATATCTCTGAGTCCTTGTGAGCGACGAATTATTTTTCAGCCTCCAACCTCTCTCTCACAGGCGGGATGTGGTGAGTCTCTCATTGCTCTATCGCTACTTACAAGGAAAGTGTTTGGACGAACTGGATTTCTTGGTTCCGCTAGTTCTAATCTTCACGCCTAGGACCCGCCACCCGACTTACATTGTAGTAAAACATCCACATTCCCTCCGTATTCCATCGGTGAGAAGAAATTCTACTAGAACAGCTTCTTCCTGCGAACCACTGCTCTGCGGAACAGACTCTCAAGAGGGTGTTTCCCAGATCATTACAATCTTAATCTGTTCAAGTCTAGACATTGAATCAATTGCTTCTTCCACCGCGAGGAAAGTTGGCTCTCTGTGCCGCGCCAGGAAATTTTTCTCCCCGGAATCGATACTTCAAATATACAAATTAACCATTCGCCCTTGCATGGAGTATTGCTGCCATATATGGTCAGGTGCACCTTCTGTTTACCTCGGAGTTCTTGACAAGATCCAGAGACGGATATGTAATATAATTGGCCCTGACTTGGCGTCTCGTCTGCAGTCACTCTCTCACAGACGCGCCGTCGCCTCTCTCTGTCTTTTCTACAAATACTTTCATGGTAATTGCTCAGATGAGCTGCTTTCACTGGTTCCCAGACTCCATGAATTCAAGCGCCCTACAGGCTGGCATCCGCTCCCACCCTTACACTGTAGAAACTTTTTAAATGTAGCCGTCTTTTCTACTCCAATGGCTTCATACCTCGTACCTCTCGCCTGTGGAACACCCTTCCCAATTACTGTTTCCCTAAAGGCTATAATCTCCAACTATTCAAATGTAATGTCAATCGACACCTCAGTTACCTTGATCTACCCACCATCCCTCTCCTCATCCTTTCTTCTATCTCTCCCTATCTGCTCTCGCTCCAAATCTTCTGCAATCCCCTGAATCCTAGTGGCTTCACGCATTGCTCGGGGCGTAATGTTTTTTTAAAAAAAGTTAACCGTTATCTTCCCTTCCTTTTCGTATAAACTACCTTTTAACGTAACCTTCTACCTCGAGTGGCCTCGGGCCTTGTACAGAGTGAACCTTACTGTAAAAATATGTGTTCATAACTATGTAATAAGAATTACTGTCTCCACTGAACATCGCATTTATCGCACATAGCATATATTGTCTTCTGTTGGTTGATGTTAGACTTCGATAAAAAATAAACTACTTTTCTAGGTTTGAAATGAACTCATTTAATCTTTTGCTTTCCGATGCATTCCAACACGAAAACAATTTGTTCTTTCTTTTATTTCCGGTGTAAATTATGATCAGAGTGTTGATAAGTAAAAAAAAAAGGTTTTATGGATTTGTTTATTTTCATCTCATCAACGTCTTTTCTGTTTATTTGTAACTATATTGAATCGACATTGTTGGACTGTTAGATGAAAAATAAAAATGGAGGAAGACACTCTAATTTTTGTAACACGTGTCGCTGGGTAACAAGAATGACGGAAGACGCAATTAAGATATCAAATGTGTGATTTCTGACAGCTTATATGTAAAATGGTGACAAAAGGGCGATAAACGGAAGTACTAGGCTGCGCAGACTCAATACAGATGTTGAGAGAGATAGAGAGAGGAACGAAGCAAAAATATCGCTTTTTATGAACTGGTAGATGAAAGCGTGCTTTTCGAAACATGGTTCCAGTAGGAAAAGTTATATATGAAAATCGACAACATCGATTACAAAATTAGCTTTTTTTAAAAACCTATGAAATTGTTACAGCTAACAAGAACATCAACAACGGATATAACAGCAACAACCATTATTTTATTTTATTGGTAATCATTATTAATGGTGATATCAGAATACTGACGTGGTGTAATGGTTAGCAAGTTAGTCTCACTATATCTGAACAGGGAATTCGATACTTACTTTGTTTCCCATACTTTCGGCCTTTTCTCACGTCTAAGCTACGCTTAGAAAATATCTATCATTAGAATATTACTTTCATTCAAACTCCCTTCGTTAACATCATTAAACATCATCATTTTTTATACAGACTCTACCATAATATTAACAGCAAATAAAAATTTTAATACCCCATTATCATGATTCTCAACCAGCATCCATAAGCGAGTTGCTAAAATGTTAACGATTGTTATGTTACGCTCTCATCATTTCGATCGAGCACTATTGAGAAAAAGGTCATTCCAAAACAGTAGCCGTTGCCGCTATTAACGCACCGCTCTTCATTAATGAACTGAGTACTCTGGCTGCTGCCGTTTGTATACATTCGTATATAATACGCTAGGATTTCCCTTTCTCTGTCGTGTGCCGATATCTTAGGATCTCCGACTGATGACAAATCCCGGTTTGAAGAAATCGGATGTTTAGCCACATTGATGAGCTGTAATACAGCGAAAACAGGCTTATGTGGATGACTATATATATATATATATATATATATATATATATATATATATATATATATATATAGGAACAGTGTTCGAATCTCATCAGGGTTGATTTGTCAGGAAGGTAAATTCTTGATGTTATCGGTTTCAAGGCGATCAGCGTGCAGCACTTTTGAAAATTGAAATTGGGTAGACGGAATCCTTGGTGGGGAGCCGTCGGTGATTGTGCTAGCACTGTCACAAGTCATCGTGGTAGGTTTGAACGGGCTGGCCTTGTTCAGACTGTTGATCACGCTAGATAACGGGCTCTCTCCCAGAAACTAACTAAGGTCCGCTTAGCATAGTTGAAGTACAAAGTGAGCTCTTTGGGCGTTGAACAAACACAAATGTGCCTGAGCAGTGTCTTCAACTGAGATTAGTTATTTGCCCTGAGGTTAGTTAGTCGTCCTCGGATAGGGTGGCAAGCCACTATATATATATATATATATATATATATATATATATATATATATATATATATATATATATATATTAACAGTATTTCTCATGAAAAAATCTCCGATGACTCAGCTTGTAAACACCTGAGGGCAAATTGGTACCCTTGGAAAAATAGATAGTAGAAAAAGAAAGAACTAAAAACATCAGAACAAGGCGAAAAAAATCGTCAAGTGCCTTAAGTCCTTAGTCCAAAGAAAAAAGCCCAAGCGAGTATAAAGAAAACGAAAACGTAGAGGGCTCAATGCGTTAAGTACAGCGGCAAATAGAATAAATCCTAACGAGCTAGGCGAACCTACCTAGGTTTCACCTAAACGGATCTTCAGGGTGGTCGGTCTACCCTCAAGATCCGTTTAATTAAACAAATGAACCAACTCATTGAGATTTATTCTATTATATATATATATATATATATATATATATATATATATATATATATATATAATGTCATACTGTTTAGGACGTAGGCGATCATGGCTCTCCACAGATTTTTTACTTTATTATTTGTGAATTGGCCTGCATTCTTGGGAAAGATAGTTTCTCGTTGACTTCTGCGTGGTTTGGAATTTAGAGTTTTTCTTCTCTGAGATTGACTGTCACACATGGATAAGAGAATTCAGTCGAAGTTGCTCTTTAACCTATGGCTGGTGGAAGAAGGTTGCGAGGTTTGAAAGTTTTCCCTTAGATAAACTGCTTTCCCAGACTAACGAGTTCCATCTAGCAAATTTAAGCCTCCGACACCTGGTATTCCTCGTCCTGGCTATGACGATAAACTACATCCTGCAGCAAGGTCTCTGGTCGGGAGATTGGAGGGCTTGAGGAGCGAGGAACCACCATTACCCACAAAAATGTGGGCAAATAGTGGATTTCCACACAAACATCAACAGTATATTTTTATAATAAAATGACCAACAATACATTTTTATAGCAAAATGACAATCAATGTTACACTAAAAACATTAAAAATCATTTTTATAGTAAAATTACCAAGAATATATTTTCTGATCTAAAAACTATATATCTAAAAAACATGCCTTTACTCTAAAAGGATAAAATTATGTGCAAAATGTCTGTAGTTGAAAGCATAAAATTACGTTCAAAATATTTAGATTTCGGCATTAAGCAACTCAAATGTTGATATGCCGCTAAACAAAATCAACGAACAACCAACCTCGTATTCCCAAGAAGTCACCCATCTAAATATTGACCAGGATCGACGTCGTTTAACTGCAGTGATCGAATGAAAACTGGTGTATTTACCATGATATAGTCTTTTCAACAGTTATAATATTTACTTTGTTAAAGTTTTGTTTTTATGCATCCTAATCTATTTAAATTCTAACTTCTAACTTTAAATTCTAACTTCATGGAAAAACGTTATATTTGATAGACAGTGTTGTAAGGTTTCATATAATTGTTGTCTCCTTTTGATCGGAAATTAATAAATTGCCTGCCCTTGACGGAAGTGACCAGTAAAATTTTGTAGGCGTTTCATTTTAGTTGAATAATACAGACAAAAAGGTATATTTCTTGTTAATTCATTTCTTAATTCATTATAGACAATATTTCACAGAAGAACGTATTATTACTTTCATCCAAAAAGGAATTTGTCAAAGATAGATTGTCATTAACTGGTATGAAACGACGCTTTAGAATAGTTTATTGCAATAACGACAATAAGAGATATTAAAAATATTACTGTAAAATGTCAACGATAAAAACTACTGTGCAAAGGAATATTGTTAATCTATTACGTAAAACGAAATTCTCTTAAACCAACTTTTAACATTGAAATCAGAAGCTAAGAAATTGCTGGTTTATGAAAATTAATGTAAATAAAGTTAAACAATGTTAATTTTATTTACTTAATAAAATTAAATAAATGGATTGCTAAAAAGAAAATAAACAGATATTTTTCAATAATGCAATGCATTATTGAAAAAATGGTGCAATAATTTTCCATTGCTTTCGAATTCAGAGTTTTCCTCCTCTTAGATTGGTTCCACCCAAACTAGAGAGTCCAATCTGTCTTTTAACCCATAGCTGGTAGAATAACACTACAAAGAGATTGGAAAAGTCCAATCTGATCTTTAACCCATAGCTGGTGGAATAACTCTTCAAAGAGATTGGAATAGTCCAATCTGTTCTTTAACCCATAGCTGGCGGAATAACACTTGAAAGTGTGGAAGAGTCCAATCTGTTCTTTAACTCATAGCTGGTGGAATAACACTACAAAGAGATTGGAAGAGTCCAATCTGATCTTTAACCCATAACTGGTGGAATAACACTACAAAGAGATTGGAAGGGTCCAATCTGTTCTTTAACCCATAGCTGTTGAAAAAATACTAAAGGTAGCGGATGTTTGAAATCAGCGTTTTTCTTCTCTTACATTAATTTTCTTCCTTTTTTCTTTTACTCGTTTTTGGTTTTAAATCAACTATTCTAGATTTAAAAAATGCCATGTAACTTTATATATATTCATCAATGTTACAGAGTGACCTTCCTTTTTTTTGTAATGAAATATACCGATTGTGCGGTAACAGAATGCATTATTCGACGGCAATACGAGAATATTTTATAGGTATATAGTGGGGATTAGGCTTTTTATTTATTTTGTTTCCGTTTAACTTTCTTTTGATAGTTTTACTTTTAATGATTTAAAAAGCAAAATTCTTACACGTGACATTAGAATCAACTGCGTTGATAAAAATCTAAAATTACTTATTGAGAAAATATAAACAATGATATGTTCAATTCACCCCAAGCAAGGCGATAATGCCACTAAGCCACAAGAGCTAGGAGGCTACTGGGAGTGAAAGATAATAGGAAGACTTTAGAATAACCGGAAAACCAACCTTAAGCAGGAATCAAGGAATAAACCGCTATTTCTGTTCAAAAGACCTGGGAGGTGTGCGAACTTATCTACTCCCATTGAAATAAATAAATATATAAATAAATAGTAAAATGTCAAAGTTTAGCCGAAGTTGTTAGAAGTATAAAGTTGAAGTAGACTTTAGGAAAAGCCGGAAACCCAATCCTAAACAGGAAACAAATGATAAAAGACCGGGGAGAAGTGTGAACCGGGTGATAGGCGAACCGATCTACTCCTATTATATTTTATTTACATTTCTAGACATGTCACCAATTAATTTAATGGGACACAACACAAAATAAAAACAACATTAAACCTAAAGTAGAGATATATGCAAAATAGATTGCAAAAATAGTTTACATGAAATACATTAGTAAAACAATGTTACTGCAAAATTCTTTGACTATCGATGTCATTTTTGACGGCAGGGGAAAACTGGTGTCAAGAGATTTTAAAAAAAAGATACAAGAGAAGTAAAATTGAAATGACTCTGAAATAAAACAAAATATGGCAGTTTCTGTTATCATTACCTTACTTTAGCTGTTAATTGACAGAGAAGGGTGATTTTTTTTCTTGTTTATTTTATTCGGTCTGCTATTTTGTATTTAATAGGAAATTTATTCACTTTTGTAATAGATTTAAATACGTTTCTTTCTTTTAACATTTCAAAGCAAATTTTGCATTAAGGACTAACCATAAAGACAAAGAAAAGTATTTTAATAAATTTACAAATTTCTACGCATTCACGTGCACACACACACAAACACACACACACATTCATACACACAATGTGTA